TGTCTTCTACGAGTCTTTTTTTGATTCCAGCATCTTCTTCAGACACTGGTTGGCCAATGATGAACTCCTCTACGCCTGTGCATGGGAGTTATACTCGTATCACTCTAACCCCCCGCCTTTTATTCTTAAACACGTGCCTGAGTTTGTAAAAAATAAGCTGATAGGGTTTTAACCCTTCTCTACTTCAGACAATTCGAACAGCACCCCAATGGACATACTCAGTACTTTGGCAGGCCACAATCCACAGATGAGAACATTCTGTCCATTGTGATGATCTGCATTGGAAATAAGTGGTCCAGTGGGGTTTTTCCTGCATTGCATTGACAGCTCATTAAGCATGAATGAACTGCCAAGCTAAACTATAAACAAAATTCCATGTGGGTGCCCCCTCTCCCAAGTGTATTCATGCTTTTATGCTCTTTAGTCTAGGGGGGTGTAATGCAGAGGAGTACTTTTCTTATTCTTCAGTTCTGCTGCGCTCCCACTCCAGCCTCAGCATGTGGTTGGGCCCTTGACATCATCAGGTACAATACAGGATCAGCTGTTGCATAATGATTTTAGTAAGGGGGGGCCACATCGCAGAGGGAAGTGGAGCGGCTTCACATGGCTGATCAATTATACCGGAAGTGATGAGGTGGAAGCATGTAGCACCAAGGAATAAGGTAAGTAGTTCTCTCTAGGGCACGTCCTTTAGAATAAACAAGCATTAGATCCTCACTATAGAAAGGGGGGGAAGTACAGTTTTAACACAACATGCGTTATCGTGCCGTAAAAATACAAAAGGGCTCTTAGAACTTGTAAAGGACTATTACCTTTTAAAAACTTCACCCGCAGTGTTGACACCAAACACGGAACCATCCATGCCAACCTCCAGCATTTCCAAACTGCCATCAACATGTTGCCAATGACTTCCCTTGCAGGCCGCAGGTTTGACATTGTAGCGGTAGAGGATTTGTTTGTTGCTGTTCACTCCCCAGCAGCCCATAGGTCCGCAGCTGTAATACTTCAGTCCACCGTCCAATAACACGAAGCTCACCACCGAGGAGTTTGAGAGAGTGCAGCTCCGTCTCAGGCAAAGTACGTTGTCTCTAGCATTCACTCCACCCAGGAACCTCATACCCCCCGCATCCACTTGCTTCAGCTCTCCTGTAGATGAAAAACATTTGGCAGGTGGTTTAGCAAGGCAATGCAAAGTATGTTACAAGTAAATCCAACAATCAACTACAATGTGTTGAATTTTAACTTCATTAAGTGTTTTGAGCTTAAACGCCCAAAGTAGAAAAGAGATACAAAATAGAAAATATAAGTTACTATATGGAGGTTACTAATAAGTAATTCCCCAACAATCAGTAATATATTACAGAGGCACTGCTGCCTCTGACTCCTAGCCCAGGAGGTTTGGAATAAGATTTGGTGATGTCACTACTCACTGTTGTCCTTGCTGGAGGTACTAACATGAGGAAGCAAAGCCTTGCCTCTACCAAGATGGCCAACACAAAGACACAGTGCACAACAAGGAATGGTAATGGGGGATAGATCAGCTGCAGTGAGACCCCTGGCAATATTAGTGACTAGTCCCTCTGCCCTTTTCTTGTGTTCAAGTTTTAAATATTGATGAAGTGATTTTGTCTTACAAATTAAAAAAACTAATATATTTACAGAAGCTGTTTATTTTCAGACTCTCTCTGTCTCACTGAAACTTTGGATGACGACGCCTGAAAAGACGGTCAGGGACGGGGAAGAGTCACTGCACAGACTCAATCAGGTGTGTCAGGTTGGACTTGCATTGTTATGGTGCACAGGGCTGTCCGTATAATAAGGCAACCTGAGGTGGTTGCTTCAGGCGGCATACCTTAGGGTCACTTGGGGATCACTCCTTTCGGGCCAGACCATCCCAGGTTTCTAAGAGCTAGCAATCTGTGATACTCTGGCTGGGGTCCTGCCCAGCTTCTGGCAACCAGTGATGTCACTAGTTGCCAGGAGCCGAGTGGGACGTTCTGGTTGGCATCCCACCCAGCTCCTGGCAATCAGTGGTGTCAGTGAGCTGGGTGGGATGTCGGACAGAGGTAACGTCCACCACCAGCACCTTCCATCCGCACCTCATCTCCCACCTGTAAAGCGCATCCATATCAACCCCCCCAAAGTAACGTGCATCACTAGCACCCCCCACCTCCTTCCTGGTAATGTGCACCACCAGCACACACCCGACCACCCCACATT